CCTGAGGGTACAACCGGGCACGGAAGCGTAGTAGTGTAGTGAGCAGTGACGGGCCCCAAAGTGGGATCAGCCAGTGCTACCGAGACCGGTGCAGGAAGCGGAGTAAGAGTCGTGTGGTTGCGGAAGAAACATTGCGAAGCTCCGGAGTCGAGGGTGAAAGACTGCGAAGAGCGCTCCGGAGCAGTGCCTTGACTAGTACCTAAGCAAGTACCTACACTAGCAACAGGCACATGATCGACGCTAGCACCTAAGCTAACAACAGACAAGTAAATAGAGTCAGAAGCACTAGAGTCAACAACAGCATATATAGCATGAGGAGTTCACAAGAGATCAAGCAACTGAGAAGCAGACGTGGCCCACAGTGCAGCACCGTCGGACTGAACAAGAGGAAGCTAGTCAGGAGCAGGGCCATCAACGCCGTAGGCCGCGCGAAGGGTGTCAGTGAGCTGAGCAAAGCACTGACCAGGCAGGTGGCGGCGGTCACAGCAGAAGCCACTGCAAGTACCTGTCTGGATCATGTAGGGGCAAGGAGGGTGGACGTCACCACATGACTGCTGACGTGCTCCTGGCCCCGTCTGCTACCCCTGCTGCTACCCCGGGTGCTGCTGCGGCCGCTGCGAGAGAGGCGGCTGCTGCTGCTGCTGGCAAAATAAAACCTATGCTAGTAATATCATAATAAATTCCAGGCAAGTTAGCAAATCCAGCATAAGCCGTCGTACTCTCACAAGGAGGGTGCTAAGCAGAAAGTAGATTTTTTCGCCTTAAGGCCACCGCTGATGGAACTATCGAGTGCTTTAAAGCACGCTGGGTCGTACGTGGGTATGACCAGCACCATGGCATCGAATTCGACCAGACCTTCACATCCGTAAGCCGCCATACCTCCGTGCGAATTCTACTCGTCATAGCAGCCGCTAAACACCTACCACTACAGCAGATCGACGTCAAGAACGCTTTCTTGTATGCGCTGGTGTATACAACCATCTTCGTGGAGCAGCCACACACCTACGGGGAAGGAGACCCCATGATCTGTCAGCTGAAGAAATCCCTTTACGGGATCAAGCAGGCGTCGCGACTCTGGCAGCAGCACATGCACAAGGTGCGCCCAGAGATCGGTATCAGGCAACTACCGCACGACCCGGGAATGTACCGCCTCCACTTCAAGGGGACTGCATCATTCTGACACTTTACATCGACGACCTGCTGTACACCGGCACCTGCAACAAGCTCGTCCATCAGTTCGAGAAAAATATAGCGCAGCGCGTTCACATCACCATCAACCACACAGTTTGACGGTTCTGAAGCGCCAGAAGCAATTCAGCTGTCAGTCTCTAAGTACGCAGAGCAACTAAGAGAGCGCTTCAAAATTTCACCCCGCATCACTCTCAACTCCTTGCCGCACTCACAGCACCAACCACAACTTGGACAACCACCCTCTGTCACCCGCAGGACTCCAACTGTACCAGCAGCAACTTGGGTGCCTGCTGTTCGCCTTTGTCACCTGCCAACCCGACATTTCGTACATCGCCAGCCAACTGGCACAGTACTCACGCAACCCAGTAGCAGAGAACCAGCTGGACCTGGAGCGCGCCCTACACTCTGACAACAACTTCCTTCAATCTCACAGACTACGTGGACGCAGATCACGCCGCTGACCCTGCCAATCGACGGTCACGAACCGGCTTCTATTTTTACCTGGAGCCAACGGGCCCAATCTCCTGGAACTCACAGAAGCAGGAGCTGGTTGCCCTGTCATCAGCTAAAGCAAAGTACATTGCTGCGACAGCTGTAGTTCGTGAAGGACTTTACCTACAAGAGCTACTGCAGGAAGCAAAAATCCCAACTTCGCCTACCTTTCGTCATCACTGTGACAACCAGAGCGCCATCAGGATCGCGAACAAGCCGGGGTTTGTTGACCGGACGAAACACATCGTGCTTCGTACCTTCTCGTCAAGGACGAAATTGACCAGGGCAAGGTTGACCCCACAGGAGTAGTCAAGCGAGTCAGCCCCCAATATGCCTAGAAATGAAGGGGGGTGTTGCGATATGAAACATAATGAGTAGGCATTCCTGTACGCCGCAGGAGCCGACTCTACAGAGTACGAAGTTGAGGAGTCAGAAGAGCCGAAGCGACATTAGCAACCGTCATATCAAGACCGATGCATGCAGAAACATTCAAAGTGAAAAGAGTGAGAATAGGTTTGAAACAGGTTCCCGCGCGGCATGGTTGAATTTTGATGTAATATGAAAATGTACCCCTTAGAGTACATGGCTAGTCTAGGTCTTTTCGTATTCCCTGAATTTCCTATATAAACTCGATGTATGCATGCTTTTAATAATCTCAATCAATTACATTCACTCTGACCTGGGGTCAATACTTCTGCTGCAACACTACATGCGATGAACCCTGAGACGATATCTGGCTAAGTCATACTTAGGATTGTAACAAAAGCCATGTATCTTCACTACTTTTTATCACACATTGGTTATTGCATATCGTAGTTTTGCCTCCTGGAAGAGCTCATCGAGCTACGATGGCAACTATGATTTAACTTCAGGGGAAGAGAGCACCACAATTTCATGCTTTTGGGAATTCCAAGTAGGTTGAACCAGAAAAGTATGCAGGTTCCTAACCGTCAACGTTGCATCGGCTGCATGATTAGTGTTAATGTATCCGATGAGGTTACGGCGTGCGATGTGTTAAGTAGGTGATGCTGATATGAGGTGACACGACGAAGTACAGCATGTCAAAATCGAAAGCAGAACGAGTTTGACAAGCAGGAGATGGGCACAAGCAGGAAACCCTAGAAGCGTCTTTAGGGACGGGTCTGCAGTCGAAGGAGCTACCGTGATCTCCCGGTTACAAGACCCCCCCGCATAAAAGCCCCGTGGGTCTTCTATCCGGACCAGGGGTCTTTTATTAAGTCAGTCCTGGAGAGGACCCGTCTTTTGACCCAAATCATTATAGGACCCCCCCTTAGGCTATAATGAGTGGTGTTAGTTCATGAGCTGGTTAGCGAGTCACACAAAAAGCCACCAAATTCACTTTGTCAGGCGAATTTGTGGTCAAGGGAGTCAAGATGCTACATCAATCACGCGTTTTTGCCGCCCTTCAGGCAACAAATGCTGACGTGCCTGTCATTATTAGGCATTTCTGAACGTGCGGAAAGGAATCTGGGAGACTCGAGTGCGAGAATCTGAGAATGAATTTCCGCGCTGTGAAGGATTCCGAAATTCAGTACAGAAATTTCGAAATTCTTCAACACTGCACTACAAAATCCATTTTTCAGTAATTAATAGATGTCCAGGGGTCTTATGCACTTCATGTCATTACATAAGACCCCACAACCCAGTTCGAGCACATTTAGGATAAGACCCCCGGGTCTTCTAGGCGGGAGATCACGGTATGCCAAGAGCCGCAAGTGACGTCATCAGAAAATCGTGCAACTCGCGCGGCACTTGACGGAGACTGTAGACTGGCCGCCGGAGACTCCACTGGGTACCTTCAGGAAATGAACCAGTGAAGCCATGCGGACGGCACAGCCAGATCTCCTCGTGAAAGCTGGCCCGCAAAAAAACTGCCAAGAAGTCAAGTGAGTGCAGCTCGTAGTGACGATGTGCTGCAACTTGTAGTAACACCCGAAGAGTCGGCATCTTCAGGGTGGGGGAGTACGTCTGGAAGAAGTCGACCCCTTCATGTTGACTAAAGCCACGTGCAACGTAACTCGCCTTGAAGGCAGACGGTGAACTCGGCGGTCGCTTCATCGTGAATATCCACATGCCACTGACGACGTTCGCTCCAAGTGATGGGACGGCGTCGACGTAGGTGCCAGTGGACTAACAGGAAGCCATCTCTGCGTCCATAGCTGTTTGCCACTGAGAGGAGTAAGGACCCGTGATTGCCTTTGCATACGAGCGAGGGGTCGGGATGTTAAGTGCATCCGGGTCTCGCTCAGGGGCAAGCAGCATGGCAGCGAGATGGGATGAAACAACTGCAATGTACTCCAACTCAAACTCCCTGTCCTTGTCACAGCCAAGGCCAAGCTCACCCCTGACGGACGTAGGTCAGGCAGACTCGCAATGTAGTCAAGGCGGCAAGTAGCAGCAAAGTCAGCGAGCTCGACGATTAAGAAAGACATACACAATGCAATACGTGTATCATTGTTATGGGTACGATGTATTGAGGCAGTGAGGATTGCAGGCAAAAGAATGCAAATGTGAGCGAATGCATGAGCGGACATTTATAGCAAAAATAAGCAAACGGTAACGCAGTGTGTGCGAGCTAGCTTGTGCGATGCTGGCAGCGATGTTCGGGCTAGTCCCGAAGCGTAGGCCGACTCAGGCCAGGCCAGCAATGCATGGTTTGGTATTGTGACGCGCGAAGGGGGGGGGATGCACTGTTAGCAGGAACAGGTGAAGAAAAGGTTGGTCCTATATGGAATGTTTAGATGCGCGGTAAGGAATGTTGAAAAAAAACTTACAAGCATCCGGGAATTTTAATTCGTTACATGACTTCTGAATCCGTGACGTGGCGGCAATTTATGTTTTGTACAGTATACGCCTTTTCCTAGAGCCTTCGTCACACACCTCCTTCGCACGGCCTCCTGCAGCCGCAAACCAAGCAAGGTGTGCACGGCTTCGTTCGTCGCACATGGGCGGTTTTCGGCTCACGGTTCACGTAGGTAGCCGCGCCGCGCACCGACACTCGTTTCTTGCGATGACGAGTCAATCCAGTTGACTCCATCCGTCGCAGCCTCACTCCCTTCCGCACATCCTTCCCCCACCCCCTCACCTCTTCTGGATCAATTCCGTTCCTTCCCCCAGTCCCTGCTCCCCAGCTCGTACAATCGCCACCACTCCATCCTCTCAACCTGCATATATTCCCCACAAACCAAATATCGTACCAAGATAATTTCTTGCTGCTTCAACTGATCACAACGTCAAATTCAGGCTCCAAAAATAGTTATTCCTGACGCTGTAACGTTCATCCTCGTTCGCAGCCAATGATGGCAAGCGCCCCTCCCTTCGCCGTGCGTATTGCTCGTCTTTCCCACGCAGCGCTGCTGTGTCTCGTCATTTCCATCGCGCTCTCCGCGCAGTGCTCCGTGCGCGGCGCGCCGCAGGGTCCGGCCGCGACGTCGATAGCGGCGGCGCTGTCGAGCGCGGAGTCGCCGTCGCAGTCGTTCAACGTGTCGCTGCTCGTCCTCAACGCCACCGGGCTGCTCGCCAAGCTGCCCTCGCTCGCGCCGCTCACTCTCTTCGCGCCCACCGACGCCGCGTGGCGCGCCGCATTCCACGCGCTTGCCCTGCCGTATCTAAGCGGCTACATTCCCTTTCCCGGCCCCGGCTTTGGATTCGGCGGCGGCGGCGGCTGCGGGACCCCCGGAAGCCCTGGCAGTCAGGGGAACAGTTCAGACGGCGCCGCCAATCCCGGTGGCATCGCGCAGCCGATCTCAGAGCCCGGCGCGACGGGGGGCGCTAGCGGCGGGGCGAGCGCGGCGATGATTCCCGGCCTTCCGCAAATTGACTTGCCGTTGCCCGGCGTTCCCGACCTGCCCATTCCCGGGATTCCCGGCGGGTCGGACGGGTTGAATCTGACGATGCCGCCTCTGGATAACATGACGATTCCCATGCCGCCCGACAACTGGACCATGCCCGACTTTAACATGTCCATGCCTGGCATGCCCGACGTTAACATGTCCGTGCCCGACAACTGGACCATGCCGGACTTCAACTGGACCATGCCCGATTTCAATTGGACCACACCTGATTTGTTGACTTTCGACCCGCTTCTCGCCGCATTGAGCGCCGTGTTTTCCGGCGACGGGACGCCCGCGTCGCTGGCGGCGCTGGCGAAGGAGCGGCCCGAGGCGCTGAAGGCTCTGTCGGAGCTCCTCGCATACCACGTGGCGACGACGGCGCTGAACGCGGCGGCCATCGCGGCGCAGTTCACGGCGGATGCGGGCAACCTGACGACGGTGAACGGGCAGGGGCTGTGGATCAACTTCAATAAGAGCGAGTCGACCGCGCTGCTCAACGCGTACTCGCCGGCGCAGCGCGTGCTCATCAGCGAGGGGATAAGCGTGGGGTACGACGGAACCATCTACTACCCCAACGGCACCACTGTCGCCGCCAACGGCACAGTGCTGTATGACGCGGGGACGAGCCCCATAGCCGTGGACTCGGACGGCAACACCTACTTCGCCAACGGTACCGTTGTGAGCGCTAATGGCACCCTGGTGACCAACGGCACCCTCGCCTCCAACGGCACCGCCATCCCCATCGACGGGCCGGGCCTCCCCCTTCCCCCCGTCCCCCTGCCCCCTGTCGTCACGTCGTCCGCCTCCGACGGTTCGGTGGCGCCCCGCGGCGTGGCTGGCGCGCAGATGATGATGGAGCCTCCCCCCATGATGGGAGGCGGCCCCGCCGATGTGCCCCCCGCCACTGCCATGCCCGGCCCCATCCAGGTGGACCCGCGCCCGGGGGACATGGGCGCAGGGGGCATGATGGGGGGCTTGGGGGACATGATGGGCGGGTGGGGGGGCATGGCGGGGTGGTGGGACGACTGGACTGCGGAGGTGCAGCAGCAGCTGCTGGGGAATGCGACTGAGTGGATGAATAAGGTCGTGCCGGGGCTCAACGTGACTGCCAGCGAGTACCTCGCGTGGCTCATTTCATCCTCCTCCGCCTGGGCGGCAGGCTCTAATATGATGTGGGAACAGGCTGGCAGCGACATGAACGTGGCTCGGGTGGTGCGGGCTGATCTGATGGACAGCGCTGGCATGGTGGTGCATGGCGTCGATGGCGTGCTCTTCCCGCACTTCCGCGACTTGCCCGTGTTCCCTGTTGTGTTGGACGACTCAGACTTGACGAGGAATGGCACGGCTACCAACGGAACCACCGGCGAGGGGAGCAGTTCTGCCTCTGGCAATGGAACGGCAGACGCGGGTGGAATGGCAGATGGCATTCCTGCCAGCAGCAGCCCTGGGAACTCCAGTGGAGGGACCAGCAGCAAGGGAGATATCAGTAGCAGCAGCACCGTGCCTACTGCGGGGACAGCTCCGACTGGCACACCTGGAAAAACTGGTGCTAGAGGTGAGCCTGTTCATCCTCTCTCTTCCCTCTTTTCTTCCACTCCCTCACCTTCCTCTTACGTACTGTGTGTGTCTGGACACATAAGCTCTGATGAATCTGAGCTATGTATGGTACCTTCCCCTGTCGTTATCTTCTTCCTATTCCTGACTAATCAACCCTTGCTTGTTTTCTTATCTTTCCTTCTTCAGGTCATCCAGCCATGCTCCCACTCTGGTCTTTTATCGTTGCAACCGTAGCTGTTCTTGCACTTGGCTGATTTTGGTTTATACTATGCCCTCACTTCAGTTGTATAAAGAGGACAAATATTTATCAGCCCCTTTCTCGTGGTAGTCGCCTGCACTCAGGGAAAGTGTGGGCCGTGCTATGTTGGCAGAATGGGTTTGCCATCAGCTGCCTAGTTTCTCTCTAGTTGACCTCTTTGAGTGCTGCATATAAACGGGATATACAATTGTTACAATTTTATTTGTACTGTTTTCTTTTACAAATTATTCCACCTCCTCAATTCCACCCGTAACACTCTCCCAACCCTCCATATTGTATCACGAAGTGGGTGCTGTTGGATCATCTCATGCGACAGAAACATGCGACAAGGTGTTCTCGTGGGTGATGTGGTGCAACCTATTTTGCACCGCGGCGGTGATTGACGAAGTCCATCACTTTTCGTGTTCCGTCGCGACTCTGCGCTGCTGGGCGGCAATGGTCTCATACCAGCTGGAAAGCGTGTCTGATTCGCAATTTCGGGTTTCGGGTGTTACCTGCCGAATTTTATCGCAAACGATTGACAAGACGAAACGTTCGACCAAACAAGCGACCAACCATGTTCCACACTTTAGGGAACCTGGCTCTGAGCAACCACCTGGAGCTGTGGCAGTGCCAGCAAGCGGGCAGCGAAGAATTCGCGAGACGACACGATACACTTCATGGACCCTTCCGTCCACGCACACGTCACATTTGATGACAGTACAGGATGGTGTGCTGACAGGGCATGGAGCCCAACGTTGACCCACACTGGGACAATTCACTCAGCTACTGATGGAAACCTGACGTGGACCTTGGGCTTATTTCTCAAAGCTGTGGTCCCCCAAAACAGCCGATTCGACTTGCGACGCGCACCTCTCCAACCAAACTCATCCCTCCCCGATCCCCAAGACTCCAACGTAAAGCTCGAAGCACAGAAATCATTTGCACACATCGAGTTTGGTTCCTTACTTTGTCGTAGTGACTCAGCTACTATTTCGACCAACTCGGTTCCCTCCTGATCTTGGCTGCCGCCAAACGAAAGCTTCCGACTCACGTATTCGTCTTAGATTCTGACCAGCAGCAGCGGCGGCCATGGCAGGAACCTTCTCCTTCGGCGCACTCAAGGACGCGAGCCCAGCAGCAATTCATCAGGTAGATTGGGGGGACCGCCGATTTGTGCTTGTGAGAAGGTTTATGACTGGGGGTGTCGTAATGATGTTCAAAGAATCGCTGATTTTGAATTTAGAGTGTGCTCTTGATCTAAATTATGGTTCGTCATGTTTGGAATGCAGTTCGTGGAGGAGGAGCAGCGCCGATTCGATGCGGAAGTCGCGGAGGTCGAGGCGTGGTGGGCGTCGGGCCGCTTTGCTCTCACCAGCCGGCCCTACACTGCCAGGGACGTCGTTCGCCTCCGGGACAGCCTCCCCAAGATGTACCCTTCGGGCATGCAGGCTAAGAAGGTACAACTAAACTCGTCGTACAACCAAACTCGTTGCGGAAAGCCATCGTTTTGCAAGAAAGCTTTAAATCCTTGGTCCCATCCTTCGTTAGTAAGTCACACAATCCTGCTCTCATTCTTACTACATCGTTGGAATTTGCTGGCTCACTTAAACATTGATATTGGTCTGACCACCCTTTTTCCCCGCGGCATCCCCATTTCAGCTGTACGCGGTACTGAAGCGGCACCAAGCAAACGGCACGTGCTCGCGCACGTTCGGGTCGCTGGATCCGGTGCAGGTGGCGCAGATGGCCAAGTACCTGGACTCCATCTACGTGTCGGGCTGGCAGTGCGCGTCGACGGCGTCGTCGTCGAACGAGCCCGGGCCGGACCTGGCGGACTACCCGTACGACACGGTGCCCAACAAGGTAGAGCACCTCTTCCTCGCGCAGTCGTTCCACGACCGCAAGCAGCGCGAGGCGCGCTTCAGCATGAGCAAGGAGGAGCGCGCGCGCACGCCGTACGTGGACTACCTGGCGCCCATCATCGCGGACGCCGACACGGGCTTCGGCGGCATCAGCGCGACGGTGAAGCTGGTGAAGATGTTTGTGGAGTGTTGGTGCAACCCTACGGTTTGCACTCGGCTTGTTGTCCGTGTGCGTAAATGTGTGTGTGTATGGAATGGTATGAGGGCATGGGATAATATATATTTCATGCTTATAATTGTGTGTGAATGTTGAGTCATGATGTCGAGTGTGTGTGTCGAGTCAATAGCGAGTTATCGCTAGACGCGTGTTACGCGGTCGTTTGTGTCTCGCGCGCGGTTTCTATTTTGTCGTGCGCGGTTTCTATTTTGTCCTGTGTCGAACGTTCGGCGTGTCGCAGGTGTGTGCAGCAGACCCATCAAGAACTCAAGGATGAGTTTGTGATGAAGAGCCCGAGCCTTGGTGTCAAGCCTCAAGTGATTTCGAAGCTTGCCAAAAGGGTACACCTCAAGATATTGAAGATAGTTGCATTACTTTGTGTAGTGTAACATTTCACTTGGTGTAGGCCCTAGTGAAGGGTAGTTTCGAGACCCTTCGTGGTTGGGGACAGTGTGGCACTGTTCCACATCACTGTACCTCGGCTCTTGGGGTTTGTAGGAGCTGGGAGTCATTCCCAACTCGTAACTCTTCCTATCTTGTGTTCTAAGACTATAGTGGCTGCCATAGTACCGTTCGTTCAAACCGACGCTGTGTCGTCAATTCTTTATCAAATCGTGCAATCTAAATTGCTAATTGTAGACGACGTGAAGACGCTCCAGATCCAATTTGAATCAAGTCATTTGCAGCTGTGAGCAGAACGCTATCAACGTTTGAAGCCGCTGTGCAGAAATCCGTCTGTGCTCTCTATCTTTCGTTTTAGGCACATTCAAGCCTATTGTGACTATAACAAGTGGTATCAGAGCCCCTTGGAGCAGTTTCGACAATGTCTGGACCTGAGGAAAGGGGTGGCAGAGGTGCTGGTGGCAGTGGAGAAGCTCAAGCTCAAGGCCAACCCCGTGATTCAGCCATGGCGCCCATGCAACCAAGTCTTGGCCCACCTAGGGATGAGCCTAGGGTGTTTGGGCTTGACAAGTTCAACGGTGACAACTTTGCTGAATGGTCCTTCAAGATGGAGAACATCTTTGACCACTATGACCTGCTGGAGGTGATGGAAGGAACGGAGAAGCGCCCCGAGAACGACCCGGAGAAGAGCCCGTGGGTGCGGAAGAGCGCACAAGGCTATCTCTTACTTGGGCAAGCGTTGGGGAGCAGTCAGATCCGTCACATCAAGCCATTCCAGCGTGAACCAGAGAAAGGACCAAAGGCATGGGCTGCCCTCAAGGGTGTACATGCTCCTGCAACAGCGGCGGTAGCGGTGGTGTTGGAACGGCAAATGGCGGCACAACGAATTGAAGAAAACGAAGCGGTTGAAGAAGGGGTGCAGAAATTCTTCGACTTGTTGACGCGGCTTGAGGGAGCTGATTTGAACTACAGTGAGCTCCAAAAGAAGACCAAGTTGCTGGCCTTACTCCCAGAGTCATGGTCCTCGCTCATCATCAACCTTAATCGCGACTTGTCCCGCCTCTCGCTTGAAGACGTGAAGCGAGCTATCCTTCAAGAGGATTTCCGCCGCCGTGAGTTGGCGAGTGCGGATGGCGCTGGGGCAGCGAGCATCGGCCATGGATATGGTCGAGGAAGAGGCAGAGGACGAGGGGGAGGAAGGTTTGGTGGCAGCAACTTCGGCGGAGGCCGCAGGAGTGGCGGTTACGGCAGCGACGACAAGAGCTACGGACGCGGTCGCGGCCGATTCGACGGCGAGTGTCACTATTGCCACAAGAGCGGACACATGTGGCGCGACTGCTACAAACTCCCTGATGGTTGGACCCCTGCTCAAGGCCAAGAGGGTAGAGGAGCAGGAGGAGGGAGAGGACGAGGCCGTGGAGGCCGTGGCGGTCGCGGTGGCGGAGCTGCAAACATGAAGAGCGGAGACAACGACAAGGACCCGAGCGACGATCGATACCCGGGTCTATTCTACTTCGTGTCGACGCAAGTACCGGCTGGTCCAGAGAAGGATGAAGGCTTTGAGGAGCCAGCAGCTGTGGGGAAGGTGACCCTACACCCCCTGGACTATTGGGTGATTGATAGTGGCGCTACCTATAGCATGACACCTCGCCCGGACTTGCTCACCGAACTCGAGCCGTCACCGGTGAAGCATGTCACATCGGCTTTGGGGCAGCGAGCAGAGGTGAAAGGCATGGGCAAGGCCATGTTCAAGGGTGCTGATGGGAAGATGGTGGGCCTCAAGAACGTGCTTTGGGTGCCCAGCCTTGCTGCAAACCTGATTTCCGTGCGGCGGTTGGCAAAGGCCGGCATGGACACGAACTCGAAGGGAGCCAAGACCTACACCGCAAGGCTTGGCGATCGAATTCTTTGGGACCTTCATGAGGACAGGGATGTCTACAACGAGATGTGGCAGATCCCAGTGGTCCCTATGCCTAAGGAGAGGCAAGTGGCAGCAAGCATCAGCACCAAGGATGGAGCGGTCGGTAGCGACGATGGCGCGAACGGTCGCGCTAAGGAGAATGAGCTCAAGAAGAGCAAACCTGGAGGGACCAGCAAGTTCAGTGAACCTAAGGAGAGTGGTGCAGCAACCAAGGAGCAGCAAAAGGGTGAGGAGAACCCAGAGGCAGCAGCGGAGGAGGACTACGGAGAGAGTATGTGGGGCGCTATTGCGAGCGCGGCATTCTCCAATCCAACTTCGGCTACGGGGGAGTGTGATTGGCTCACCTTGCATCGGCGCATGGGGCATGTGGCCCTGCCCATCTTGCAGCAGCTAGTGAAGAATGAGATGGTTGCTGGCATACGTGTGAAGGGGGAGCCCGATGAGGTGCTTGGCTGCTCGACGTGCATTCAAGCCAAGTTCACCCGGTTTCCGTTCCCTAGTTCGGAGGCAACGGCAAAGGCACCGCTTGATGAGGTGGTGATGGACGTGGTGGGCCCCCTGAAGCTTGGAGCTGCTGGAGCTGAGTATTTTCTCACCATTGTCGACGTCTACACCCGCATGACTTGGGTGTACGTGCTGGCCAAGAAGAGCGACGTGGCTGAAACGTTGAAGACGGATTGGTTCCCGATGGTGGAGCGGCAACAAGACCGTCTAGTCAAGTCAATCCGCACCGATCGAGGGGGAGAGTTCCTGAGCAAGGAGTTTGGGTTGTGGCTGAAGAAGAATGGTATTCGGCACTCCCTCACCATGCCATACTCCCCTGCAATGAACGGCATCGCCGAGCGAGCGAACCGCACAATCACGGAGGCGGCACGCGGGTTGCTCATTGAAGCCGGGCTACCCGACTATTTCTGGCCTGATGCGGTGCGGAGCGCGTGTGTGGCCAAGAACAGAGCCTTGACTCATGTGGGAGCAGACAAATGGGTGCCCTATGTGGAGTGGCTAGGAAGGAAGCCAAAAGTGGATATGCTTCGGGTGTTCGGGTGCATGTGCATGGCGCTCGTGCCTAAGCATCTTCGGCACAACAAGCTTGGTGCCAAGGCGGTGTGGGCCGTGCACTTGGGCATGGCTCAAAACAGCAAGGGATGGCTTCTTTGGGACCCATTCACCAAGAAGTTCTTGGTGAGCAGGGACTGCAAGTTCATGGAGAACTTCATGTACAAGGATTGGAAGGCGGAGAATGAGGCGAAGATAGGCGTGCGGTTTGGGGAGGTGAAGAGTTCCGGTTTGGAGCATGTGGACCTGCCTTTGGAACTGAGCAGCGGCAGCACAACCACAAGGCAATCCTCCCTTGTGAATGGGGGAGAGGAGGCCAATGATGCAGAGGAAGAAGAGGAGGAGGTGCAGCAAGTGAGCGAGCGTGCACCGTCACTCCCTTCCCGTACTACGAGTGCTCCACGGATTCGAGCCACACCGCAGCAACGCCAAGGCCTTCAAGTTCCTGCAGCTGAGGAGGAAGGAAGGGGGAAGAGGAGAGTTCAACCCCCTAATAGGCTGACCTATGATGCGCCGGGAAAGCAGGGCAAGACAGCCCTGGCCGGAGCGGCAATGATGGTCGGAGACGACGAGGAGAGTGACTACGAGGAGTGTGCCTTCGCGTTCTTCTCTCCGGTGGAGATGCCGGGAGAACCAGCAACTCTCAAGGAGGCTTTGGAGAGTAGTGATGCTGAGGAGTGGAAGAAGGCCATGGAGAGTGAGCTGAAGAGCATCGAGGAGAATGACACGTTTGAATTGGTGGAGCTACCGGAGGGGCGTACGGCGATAACGTCCAAGTGGCTCTTCAAAATCAAGTCGGATGCCGACGGCAAGATCGAGCGCTACAAGTCTAGGCTTGTAGCCAAGGGGTACCAGCAGAAGGAGAAGGTGGACTTCAAGGAGCTGTTTGCCCCTGTGGTGAAGCCGACGACGCTGCGAACCCTATTCGCGGGAGCCGCCATCAAAGGATGGGTAGTAAAGCAAATGGACATCGTAACGGCATTCCTTAACGGCATCCTTGAGGAGGAGATTTTTATGGCGCAGCCAGAGGGGTTTGATGATGGTAGTGGCAGAGTGTGGAAGCTGAAGAAGGCCCTCTATGGGCTGAAGCAGGCCCCTAGGCAATGGTACATGAAGCTGCGCGAAGTGTTGGAGGGGATCGGCTTCACTCCCTCAACGGCCGATCACTCCTTGTTCATGCTTGGCGAGGGGGAGCAGAGGAGTTTCATGGTGGTTTATGTGGATGACATCCTCATTTTCTCACCCTCTTCTGACCTTGTGAAGGAGGTGATGCTGAAGCTTCAAGACAAGTTCAAGTGCAAGGCCCTTGGTGACGTGAGCTTCTACCTTGGGCTCCACATCGAACGAGACGTGGAGAAGCGGTGCATGCGGGTGCATCAACGAAAGTACCTGGAGGCATTGGCTGCCAACTTTGGGCAGAGTGAAGGCCATGTGGCTACACCCTTTCCCTCTGGGTTCAAGTGTGTGAAGGGACCAGAGGAGGAGAGCGTTGGTGAAGAGGAGAGGCGCCGATTTCACTCGTTGGTGGGCAGCCTCATGTATGCGGCGGTAAACACCCGACCGGACGTCGCGTTTGCTACCGGGCAGCTGGCTAGGGTTGTGCAATGCCCTAATGAGGAGCAGGTAGCAGCTGGAATGAGGGTGGCCAAGTACTTGGCCAAACACCGACCGTTGGGCTGCAATACTCGGCGGCGGCACAAAGGCGCCAAAAGGGCGCGGATGGTGTTGAACCCGAGCGTTTGTTCCTCACCGCCTACTCGGATGCTTCATATGCATCAGAACCAGAGGACATGACAAGTGTGGGAGGCTTCATATGCTGTGTTGGTGGAGGCCCAACTGTTTGGGAGAGCAAGAAGCAGGTTGACCAAGCTTTGAGCTCGGTGGAGTCCGAGTACATGGCACTCTTCCGTGCCGTACGGGAGATTGTGTGGCAGCGGCGTTTGTTGGCTGAATTGGGGGAGGAGCAGCAAGGACCTACCCCACTGTACTGTGACAGCCAGGGTGCCATTGCTCTTGCTAAGAACCCTGTGTTGCATGGACTCACGAAGCACATGAGGGTGAAGTGGCATTGGACGAGGAGCATGGTAACCGCGGGTGAAGTTGAGTTGCGCTACGTGAAGACCACGGGGCAGCCGGCTGACATGATGACCAAGAGGCTGGTGGAGCAGCAGCATTGGAAGTGTTGCAAGCTGGCTGGGATGGCTCTGAACTGAGAGAGCAACATATCCTAAGGCCAACAATCCGAGGGGGAGTTTGTTGGTGCAACCCTACGGTTTGCACTCGGCTTGTTGTCCGTGTGCGTAAATGTGTGTGTGTATGGAATGGTATGAGGGCATGGGATAATATATATTTCATGCTTATAATTGTGTGTGAATGTTGAGTCATGATGTCGAGTGTGTGTGTCGAGTCAATAGCGAGTTATCGCTAGACGCGTGTTACGCGGTCGTTTGTGTCTCGCGCGCGGTTTCTATTTTGTCGTGCGCGGTTTCTATTTTGTCCTGTGTCGAACGTTCGGCGTGTCGCAGGTGTGTGCAGCAGACCCATCAAGAACTCAAGGATGAGTTTGTGATGAAGAGCCCGAGCCTTGGTGTCAAGCCTCAAGTGATTTCGAAGCTTGCCAAAAGGGTACACCTCAAGATATTGAAGATAGTTGCATTACTTTGTGTAGTGTAACATTTCACTTGGTGTAGGCCCTAGTGAAGGGTAGTTTCGAGACCCTTCGTGGTTGGGGACAGTGTGGCACTGTTCCACATCACTGTACCTCGGCTCTTGGGGTTTGTAGGAGCTGGGAGTCATTCCCAACTCGTAACTCTTCCTATCTTGTGTTCTAAGACTATAGTGGCTGCCATAGTACCGTTCGTTCAAACCGACGCTGTGTCGTCAATTCTTTATCAAATCGTGCAATCTAAAATGCTAATTGTAGACGACGTGAAGACCCTCCAGATCCAATTTGAATCAAGTCATTTGCAGCTGTGAGCAGAACGCTATCAACGTTTGAAGCCGCTGTGCAGAAATCCGTCTGTGCTCTCTATCTTTCGTTTTAGGCACATTCAAGCCTATTGTGACTATTACATGTAGCGCGGCGCGGCGGGCATCCACATGGAGGACCAGGCGTCGGTGACGAAGAAGTGCGGGCACATGGCGGGCAAGGTGCTCGTGTCCACGCAGGAGCACGTCAACCGCCTCGTCGCGGCGCGCCTGCAGATGGACATCATGGGCACGGAGACGGTGCTGGTGGCGCGCACGGACGCGGAGGCGGCGACGCTCATCATGACCAACGTGGACAAGCGCGACCACGCCTTCATTCTCGGCGCCACCAACCCGCGCCTGCGCGACCAGCCGCTGGTGCAGGTGATGGCGGACGCGCAGGCGGCGGGCAAGACGAGGCAGCAGCTGCAGGCCATCGAGGACCAGTGGACGGCGGCGGCGGGGCTCCGCCTTTTCGCCGACGCCGTCGCCGACGCCATCCGCAAGCTGCCGCTGGCGGACGCCGAGAAGGCGCGCCGGCTGGACCAGTGGGCGGCGCAGGCGGGCGCACTGTCGAACGCGGAGGGGCGCGCGCTGGCGGCGAAGCTGGGCGTGACGGAGCTGTTTTGGGACTGGGACCTGCCGCGCACGCGCGAGGGCTTCTACCGCTTCCAGGGCAGCACCAAGGCGTGCGTGGCGCGCGGCATCGCGTTCGCGCCGCACGCGGATCTGGTGTGGATGGAGACGGCGAAGCCGACCATCAGCCAGGCGCGCGAGTTCGCGGAGGGCGTGAAGGCGGCGCACCCGCAGCTGATGCTGGCGTACAACCTGTCGCCGTCGTTCAACTGGGACGCGTCCGGCATGAGCGACGCGCAGATGCAGGAGTTGATCCCGGCGCTCGCGCGCATGGGCTTCTGCTGGCAGTTCATCACGCTCGCCGGCTTCCACGCCAACGCGCTAGTCACCGACACGTTTGCGCGCGACTACGCGGCGCGCGGCATGCTGGCGTACGTGCAGGACATCCAGCGGCAGGAGCGCGCGTTCGGCGTGGAGACGCTGGCGCACCAGAAGTGGTCCGGCGCGAGCTACTACGACAGCCTCATGAAGACCGTCACGGGCGGCGTCTCGTCCACCGCCGCCATGGGCCACGGTCAGTCACCCGCACAGGATGGGGGGCGGGGGGGGTCAGTCACCCGCACGGGATAGGGAGGGGGGGGGGGGGGGGGGGGGGGGGCGGGGTTGAGTCGCAGGGATTAGGTCTTGGGTCTTGGTGGGACGGAAACACATGTGCATTGTGGGAAAGATATTGAAGATCTCAATATGGAGACTACAATGGAAAGCAGAAGCTTCAGTCTGGTTACCATGGCTGGGTCTCGGTCTCACCATTTCTTCCCTGCCTTCCATCCCTCTCCTTTCGGTGATGCAGGCGTGACAGAGGATCAGTTCGGCTCAGCAGGCGCTGCCACGGGTGCATCGCACTTGCTGGCGTCGTTGTAATTCCCTCAAGTTATCATTCATCATCGTTTCAACGAGCATGCTGTACCAGCCTTCCAGCATTGGCATGATGAGTGTGATGCTGCACAGCATCGCTTGGCTTGTAAGCCCGTCGGTCTTCTGTGCATGCTGCCAGAGAGCGACATGGGCGCAACAACACAGGCAGTGGCTTGTTTATTGGTTGATCAAACGCTCATTTCCTGAGCTGTTGTGGTCGATTGATACATCGCACAGCTTGGGGCTTCTTCATGTGTAAAAAGGATAGCTAGTGTGTGTGTGTTCCGTGCTTACCGGTATATTTGTTTCCATATGCTCATTCTACTGGTTCTACCTCTGCAGATCCCTCATTTCCTGCATCTCATTCTTCCCATACCATGTTCTGGTTTCATCTTATACAAGGCTAGTTGTGGATACTAGCATGTTGAATTCACGCCCTCAGGCACAAACCATTTTGATAGGTACTCACTGTTGGAAACAATCGTTCTTAAGCGCCTCTGTCGTGTCAAAATACCAAGGCACAAGCGAAGCAAAGCATATCGAGGCACCAGCGAGTCAACCCTCGGAGGTTGAAGTAACTGCTGGAGGTTACGCGAAAGTCAAAGGTCAGCGACCTTTGACCTGACAAATACAGCGCGACACCAAGGACACACAACTGACTCGCTACAGAGCAGTTGCCCGAGTCGTCACCGTATCGAACCGCAACAGCAACAGTAAAGTACTTACAACCGTATCCCTTCGTATTCCTTGTACTCTTATATATAATCTTGTATCTCTTTGTTTTAATCAACTTACTTTGCCCTCACATACTAGCGCAAGGTGGTTCACAATCTCTTTATTAAAAACGCTTCCGCTATTACAGTCCTACCCAGAGTTCATCCCTGTAAAGATCCTAAGGGCTTTTCTCAGCCCAACATCCTAAGAGCTTTTCTCGCATGACTGCTCTCATACCATGTTGGGCTGAGAAAAGCCCTTAGGATCTTTACAGGGATGAACTCTGGGTAGGACTGTAATAGCGGAAGCGTTTTTAATGAAGAGATTGTGAACCACCTTGCGCTAGTATGTGAGGGCAAAGTAAGTTGATTAAAACAAAGAGATACAAGGTTATATATAAGAGTACAAGGAATACGAAGGGATACGGTTGTAACTGCTTTACTGTTGCTGTTGCGGTTCGATACAGTGACGACTCGGGCAACTGCTCTGTAGCGAGTCAGTTGTGTGTCCTTGCTGTCGCGCTGTATTTGTCAGGTCAAAGGTCGCTGACCTTTGACTTTCGCGTAACCTCCAGCAGTTACTTCAACCTCCGAGGGTTGACTCGCTGGTGCCTCGATATGCTTTGCTTCGCTTGTGCCTTGGTATTTCGACACGACAGAAGCGCTTAAGAACGATTGTTTCCAACACTCCCCTTCGCTTCTGGAGTGTCGCTGACGTGGCTCTGTCCAGTCAGCAGCATGCAGTATTCGAACTTCTGCTTTCCGAGCTTCTTGGTCAGCTAGTCAGCTGCCATCTCGGACGTGGGGCAATATGACAGCTCAAGCCTCCCTTTTTCGATCTCGTCCTTTACGAAGAAATATTGCAGGGCGATGTGTTTCGTCCTGTTCGCGAAGCCGTTCTTGTTGGCGATGCGGATTGCCGACTGGTTGTCGCAGAACAGAGTGAAGCTGGGTAACTGAGCCAGCTTCGCTTCTTCCAGCAGTTCGCGAAGGTAAAGTCCTTCCTTGGTGGCTGAGCAGAGCGCAATATATTCTGCTTCAGCTGATGAGAGAGCGATTAGTTCCTGCTTGCTCGACTGCCAAGAGATAGGTCCGATAGGTTCGAGACGGTAGATGTAGCCAGTGCGGGAACGCCTGTTGTCGGAATCGCCAGCGTGATCGGCGTCGACGTAGCCGATTAACTTAGGCGGCGTAGTTGCGTTCTTGTAATATTTTAGACCAATCGTCGGGGTGCTAATGAGGTGATGAAGAGCGCGGTCGAGTTCTACTAGATGTTCCGCTTCGGGTCTCTTGAGGTAGGTGGCGAGTTGGCTTGCAGAGTACGATAGATCTGGGCGGCAGGTGACAGGTGCGAAGAGAAGACAGCCCAACTTTCTCTGGTAGTCGCGTATGTCGGCGGGCTTGAGTAGAGCGGAGCCTTCCTTGTTGTTTCCTGACGTGTAGCGGTACGGTGTAGAGATGATAGTTGGTGTAAGTGCGAAGCGCTTGGCGATGGTGTCGGCGTACTTCGCGGCGCTGAGGTAGATGGCGTCTTCTTCTTCCCGGATGTTGAGCCCGAGGTACTGTGTAACGGTAGATGAGACTGTCAGTGTGAGGTCCTGCTGCAGCTCCCCTTCGAACCAGGTGGTGACGCTGTCGGTTGAGCCGATGTAGAGGAGATCGTCTACGTAGACGATTAGCAGGATGTAATCTGCGCCTTTCGTGAGTCGGTACATCCCCTGATCGTGTGGTAATTGCTTGAAGCCGATGCGAATGAGGCGGGCGTGCAGGTACTGCTGCCATAGCCGCGGAGCTTGCTTGATCCCGTAGAGCGACTTCAGTAGCTGACAGACTTGGTTTGGCTCCCCGTTGGTACCGTGCGGTAGTTCCACGAAAATTTCTGCGTCAACGGGTGTGTAGAGAAATGCGTTCGCGACATCGATTTGCCGTAGCTTCTTTTTCTTCATGGCGGCGATCGCGAGAAGAATTCGGAGCGAAGTGTGTCGGCTGACCGGAGCGAAGGTTTCGGTGAAGTCTCGCCCGTGTTCTTGGTCGAAGCCGCGCACGACCCATCGTGCCTTGAATTTGTCAATGGTGCCGTCGGCCTTCGTCTTCACGCGGAAGACCCATTTCCCGGTGAGAATGGTCTTGTTCCGTGCTACGCCGATGGGGACAATTTTCCACGTGTTGCGCTCCTCTAATGCCTTCAGTTCTTTGTCCATGGCTTCGCGCCATTTTTCCCTATGCTCCCCCCCCAGAGCCTGCTGAACCATCGCAGGCTCCTTAGGAACGCCCGTGCCGTGGACTGCGGTGACGAGCCCGAGTATCTGGAGTCCGCTCTGTGTGTAGCGGGGGAGTGACATGTCCGCGGGATAAGCAGCTTCGTCTCCCGCTTCTGGATCAGGTGCGAAGTTGGGTCCTATGCGTTCTGCTTCGTCGGTGTTTACTTGTGCAGGTGTAACGTAACCGTTGTCAGCGAAATGGTAGTAGGTTTCGGCGTTGATGCTCTCGCGTGGGTTTTCGTCGTCCATTGGCACGTTGACGGAGCAGTAGGGGAGGGGTCCGGCTTCTTCCGAGGCTCCTTCCACGTTCTGCTCGTCCCAGTCAGCTTCGTCTTCTGCCGAAGCGAAGGCTCGGTCTCCACGGAAGCCACTTGTGGGGTCTCGGTTTTCGTCCAGGTTGGCAAGGTACGTCTGCAGTGTGAGTCGCTCGTAGAAAATGACATCACGTGCTGCCACTGTTTCTTTTGTCTCAACGTCGAAAATCTTCCATGCGTTGTAGTGTTTTTCGATGCCCAGGTGTAGTCCCCACTGTGCTCGTTGTGAAAATCGTCCTGCTCGTGCAGATGGAGGTCGGTACTGTACCATGCAGCCGAAGACTCGTAACATTTTTGTGCTGCCCAGTTTTCCTGTCCACAGCAGATGCGGTGATGTGTTGTTCGGAAGTGACGACGAAGAAAGCAAGTTGTGCAGCATCACGGCGTGGTCCATTGCTTCGGGCCACTGGTGGGTGGGTAGCCGCATGCCACGTAACAGTTTCCGCATGGTGTTCTGGAGGGTCCTGTTCATCCTCTCTGCTACACCCTGCTGTTGATGGGCGTAGGGAAGGGAAATGAGCCGCTTGATTCCTCTCTCTGCCAGATACTGCTTGAACCTTTGTGAGGTGTATTCTCCTCCCCCGTCTGACTGGAAGCTCTTTAGTTTGATGCCCGATTCCCTTTCTGCTAGAGGGAGCCAGGCGACGAACGCTTCGAACGCCATATCCTTGCTTGGAAGATTCAGGTGCCAAACGTAACATGTCGCGGCATCGATGAACGTGATGGTGTAGTTGTACGCGTTCTGCCCCGGCTCGCGATTGTACAGGATGTCGCTGTACACCTTCTCGAGTGGCGTGTAAGTTGGTGCGCTTGGGTTATGGTGAGACGCGAACGGTTGATGTGGTAAGTCAGCTTCAGGGCAGGTGAAGCACGTTCCACGTACTCGTTGAAGTTCTCTTCCGTCGGTCAGTAGTAGTGAGTCCTTGTCGAGTACTCCTGCTCTTATCGTATTGTTTAATACTGTGTTGCTTGGGTGTCCCATCCTTGAGTGCCAGGTGCTTTCGTCGGCGCGATGTCCGGGTGATCGTCGGTACAGGTCGGAGTTGGAGTAGAAGTTGGCGGTGAAGTTGGCGCTTCGATGAACTTCTCGTGGTGCTGGGTGTAGTTGTTGCGCAGGTGTCGGTGGTGTGTCGTTGACGAGGAGCGGTGCCGTTGAAGGACCAGCGATTGGTGTTGACGTTCCTGCTGCTGCCGTTGATGGTTCTGCTACTGCCGATGTTGTCTCTGCTGCTGCCGATGTTGTCTCTGCTGCTGCCGATGTTGTCTCTGCTGCTGCCGATGTTGTCTCTGCTGCTGCCGATGTTGTCTCTGCTGCTGCCGATGTTGTCTGAATTGTTGCTAACGCCCTTGTTCTTTCTGCCTCAGGGATGGTGTGTGAATACCAGAAGCCTTCTGGACTGAAGTCTGGATCAAGGTCTGGAGGATGGGTCCAGGAGGTGAAGGTGACGATGCCGTCGCTGTCTGCTGTGCCGAGATCTGGGACAAAATCGAGAACGAAGACGTTGTTTTTGAGTATCGCCTTGCCGATGTAGAGGCCGCCCTTCCCGTGGTACAGCTTGAATTCCTGGGTGGTGCTGTCTGCCTCGAGGTGAATGCCCTTCGTCATCAACTGACTGACGCTCAGTAAGTTGTAGCCGAGGCCTTCTGCGATTAGAACCTTAGACATTTGTAGAACGACATTTGTCTCTCGTGATTGAAGTTGTACCACTCCTTGTCGT